AAACAAAAAAACCCCCAAAAAAACCAACAAAAAAACCAGAAGTAAAACAACAAACCCCACGTGTGGTTCAGAGAAACTGAACAAGGCCAGGCTTAAGTCTTTGAGATGAAATTTTTGAGTTTTTCTTCATTGCAGTTTTAAGGCTCTGAATTTATTTTAAGAGCAGCACTGTAAATTTAACTGTCACTTATGTACCTTTCTTTGTATATATTCGGAACAACTTCAATTGAGTTTGAATATAACATTATCATCATGTGGACCTTTTTTCTTCATAACATCTAAACAACAAAGCAATTGTGCACTGTTTACAACACATAAGATTGTTTTTCTTAGCGTACTTTAAATACTCCAAATGATTAGATGTTCTGAAATGATAAATAACAATTTTATTGTCATTTGTGGTGTTCAGAGAAGCCCTACATATTGGTGGCAAATGGGTTGTTTTGACTGGCTGATAGCAAGTTTGCAAATTATTTTACTTACTTGGCACTAACTGTAGTGTAGCTCTCCAACTACAAAGTTTTTGTATTGTTTTCATGTGGTAAATAACTCTGTTTTATAGTACTCGGAAGAAGTTTTGGCTGTTTTCAAAAGTTACAAATTGGATGACACTCAGGCTTCCCGAAAAAAGTTGGAAGAACTAAAAACAGGAGGAGAACATGTATATTTTGCAAAGTTCCTAACTAGTGAAAAGGTATGTGATGGCTTTTCTCAGAATCACAGGCTAGTTGAGGTGGGAAGGAACCTGCGTCTAGTTCAACCTCCCCGCTCGGAGCTCTCAGCTAGAGCAGGTTGATCTGTGCTATGTCCGGTTGGGTTTTGAATGTCTTCACAGGTGGAGACTCCACAGTTTCCCTGGCTATGCCATTACATTATTTGATCACTTTATCTAGATAGGTTTATTCTATTCCTTTTTATTTTCTTCTTTCTTTGTGGATTGCCTCTGTTATTTGATGATTCAGTGACTTCTGTTTCTGGAATAAGAGTCTGCAGTAAAGCTGACATTTATTGCACTTGATTTATATTGTTACCTTTAGAAAGGGACATTAAAAGAGAGTAAATATTTAAAGATCTGTTGCTTTTTTATTGCCTTTAGAATTACATTTTCAAAACTTAGCTGATGATGTGCTAACTATATTTTCTGCCTCATAATGATCTTGTTCAAAATTGCTTTGAAAAAAATCTTGAGAGTTTTTAATTCTGTTAATATTAAAGTAAAAAATACAATGCTTTATTGTCTTTAATCCTGAAATTGTTGTCTTCATTTTGGAATAATATGTAACTTTTAAATGAATGCATTAGTAGATGACAGAAAGCAAGTCTCAGTGCAGCATGAGTTTTCTCTTTCAGGGATAGAAGAGTAGGTAAATTTATCATAAGCCTTTGGCCTGTGTATTGACAATTTTAAAATAACATAGTATAGAAGGTACAGAACTGGTTGCTTAATTAACACCCAATAGTTAAAGGCCTTGTTCTTTAAAGAATCTTCAGATGTTCCCTTTATATGATCTATCATACGGTAGAAACCAAGCAGTGTATCACTGTGCAAGTGTTGATGAGAGCGAAGGCTTCTGCAGTAGCTGAATCCTTATGTTGTAGCCAGTAGCTCATAGGAAAAGGGAGCAAGCTGACCTTTGGTTACTGAAGTATTTGAATATTGGTTTTCCAAATTCTTGTTCACTTCAAAGTGAATGCTGTTACATCCAGCAGTATAAAACTAATTAAACAAATCTGGAACTACTTTTGCAAGCAGTTCCTCATGCTTTTAAAAATTTGATGTCATTAGAAATTTTGATACTCTTTCCTGAATTGTGCTAGATGACAGTTTACCCATCTTAGTACCTAATGAAGCCCTGTCCTGAAAGTATAGGTGATACTGAACAGAACTTCTCTAATGACTTACCATAATCTTGTTGTAAAACAGTCTCCATGGAGTTTATCTGAAAACATTTCTTGGATTTGTTTCACTTACACATGTTTAGTCTTTTTAATGTGTAATTCTTTTTGTTGTTGTTGTTTTAGCTGATGGATTTACAGCTGAGTGACAGTAACTTTCGACGTCACATCTTGTTGCAATACCTAATACTATTTCAGTATCTAAAGGGACAGGTCAAATTTAAAAGGTAATGTGGAAGTATTTTGTGTTTTGGGGATAGGGAGATAAGAATTTGAAGATAGACCAAAATATTTTGGAAGAGTTTATGTCTGTTTGTTTTAAGTTTGTGAAACTTGCAGTCTTGGATTGGTAAATACAGGATGTGGCTGAAGTTATCTTACAGCAGGAAAGTGAACATCTCATTCTTGCCTTTCTCTGCTCCTCTGTGCTTGATTCTTTGCCCTCCCTTGCAGTGGCTGTAATGTTCATTAGATTTACTCAAATTTGTGCAGTTTACTAAACCAGCAAAAAAAATGCTATATAGAGATCATGTTTTGAGTTATTCGAGAGCTATGTTTTATATACAGCTGCTAGATTTAGCTGTTTCTTTTACTGTGGTTTCTCTACAGTAGTGCCTTAGCTAGGGTCAGGAGAGTTTTGTTTGGTGTGTTGTATTTGGGTGGGGTTTTGGTGTTTTTTTTTTTTTTTGAAGTAAGTCTTTTCATTGTGCCTACTTGTTGTGCTTTGAGTCTAACATCAAGGTGTGATCTTGAATAATGCAAATGAACTTTCTGTTGGGTGAAGCTAAACCTTGAAAGTGTATTCCACAAGCAAGTGTAATTAACTCCACAAACTAATAGGTGGTCAGTCCATGGGATGAGGCCAGACCACATTCAAAGTGCTTTCTTCAGATCCCCTCTAACACCGCTCAGGAAGTATGTAGTGTAAATGATGTGTCCTCAGCACTTCTTTGATAAGTAGTAAACTCTTTTTAAATTAAAAAAAAAAAAAAAAAGGTGAGCTGATTTAATGACACTTCTTTGGTTTTTGTTTTGGTTTTTTTTTTTTTTCCAATTCCAGTTCAAACTATGTTCTAACAGATGAACAGTCTCTTTGGATTGAAGATACTACAAAAGCAGTTTACCAGGTTGGTACAGTAGATACTTCTATAAAAAATTACATGGAAGAATATTTAGCATGTAGCAGTATATCAACCACCTTTGAAGCAGTAAACACCATTTTCTTTGTTTGTTTGTTTTTCTATATATTCTACTACAAATATAATGCAAAAAGTTAACTTTTTTTTTTGGCTTCCTCCCAATCATAGCTTCTTTCAGAAAATCCTCCAGATGGAGAAAGATTCTCAAAAATGGTAGAGGTTAGTACTTTGGTACCTGTCTGAATAAAGTCTATATAGCATGTAAAAAAGCAATATCAATTTAAACTAGCTTTTGGAACATAGATATAATATCTGGGAGAGCTTTTATCTCATCTCAGTAAAAAAGGTCTCATAATGTCTTTTTATTTTGTAGTCATATTTTTTTCATCTTTTCATTAATGTGCTTTTCTTCCTTCTCCTGGGGAGAAATGGAAATACACATATATGTGCATGTGTACATAGAGGAGACATTGGTTATTGAAAAAAATAATAAATTTTTAAAGGTTTTTGCAGAAAGGAGTGGTGTGCCCAAAGACATGGGAATAAGATGCAAGTGAAACTAAAAAAAAGTTGTCTTGCTTTCCTTTTCCTTTACTTTGGCTGCATCTATTTGCTTGTTTAGAGAAGGAGAAATAGAGCCTTTCCCACAATTATTGAAGAGAGGAGATACAGTATCTTTTAATAAACTAAACCAGCTGTTTAAAATTATACTGGTGACCTTCAAAACAGTGGCTGAAATACACACACTATGACAAAGCTTTCCCCTTAATTTTAATAGCTCAGTTAAGAACTTTGGGGTTGACTCTGAAGGTGATTATGACCATAATAATGTGCAATATTATGTTTCTCCAGCATATATTAAATACTGAAGAAAACTGGAACTCATGGAAAAACGAGGGCTGCCCAAGCTTTGTGAAAGAAAGGTAACTGTTAGGAAGTAGAAGCTTGCTGCTGCTTGTTTGAAATGGTGGTTCAACTTCAGAATATGTACATATGCAGTGTGTATGAACGTTAATGGTTCACACAACTTGGAGATTTGTATAGTTGGATGTCCCGTCTGTGTGTGCAGAAGGCTCCTAGACTTCTGCCAAAAGTCTTAAGGCTTCATTATGTCAGTGAAAAGGTGGTGACCAAACATTCCTCTTCCATCCTTCTTCATTCTATACACAGGCTGTAGCCCCTTCCTGGTAAGGAGCGTCTGGGTCATTATCGCTTTGCGGATTTCCCTTTATGGAGAAATCAGGTGGAGTCACCTTTCCATGACTTCAGCTGCTTGCAAAAAAGGAAGGGGGCTGTGAGAAGAGAGAAATTACTATTTCGGGGAGGGGAAAAAAGTAAAATTAGGAAATTCGACTTTTGTAAATGTTCTGTCTCCTTCTTTAAATCTCAGCCAGAGTTTCAGCTTGGGTAGGTCTTGCCCTGACCTCAGTGGTCTGGGTTCTCCATTCTGTGATCCCATGAGATCAGGTGCACCTGGGGAAAGAGAACTTGCAATCATAGAGCAGATGGTCCCCGGCAGCAGAATAGATCAGACTTAGTATGTGCTGGTGGCATAAATGTGATCTCCTCCTTTTTTTATATCGGGACTCTGATAGACCTTCGAATTTGTGAGTAAACTAATTTTGGTGTCTGGCAAATCCCTTTCTTTATCCTTACTTCACCTTCTCTCTCTCTCCTCTTCCTCCTTTCCTCCTTCCACTCCTGGAATCCCAGGCCTTCTGAATACTTTCATTATGATTTAACTCGGCACCATCTGAAGTGAAATGGCTTGACTTTGGTCTCTAAATATTACTGGTTTGTTACTAAAGAGCATCTTTTTCTCTTTAGACCTCCTGATTCTAAGCCGATGAGGCCTGTGAGAAAGAGGCCAGCTCCAGAGGACTTCTTAGGAAAAGGATCAAACAAAAAAATCCTTATGGGGAAGTACGTTGAAATTTTTTTTTTTTATTACAAGGTTTCTGGGTTTTGGTTGGTTAGTTGGTTTTGGGGATTTTGGGAGGTTTTTTTGTCACTGACTGTTTTTTCTAGTTGGTAATTCTCAAACTTCCCCACTTTAGAACTGCCAGGAAAGAACAGCCAAGGGATATGTCATTCTTTTAAAACTTGCAGTAGGCTTCATTTCCTTATAGTCATCTCTTGTAGATCCCTTTTAAATAGTCTGTAAGTTACAGACTGAAAAATCAGTGGTTTGTACTTGTTGGATCAGTTTTTATACTTTTGTACTCTTTATATTTTTGCTTAAAATGTATCTATGCCATGGGTTTTAAAGTAGCACCCACTAGTATTTTTATCCCTGGGGCAAAGAATTCTTCTTGATACGTCCTCTCCAATAAAAGTGCAATATTTTGCATGATATTAAGTGCTGCATTTTTTCACCTTCTCCTTTAGGAGAAATTGTAGTCTTTTCATTGTAGCAGTTCACCATACCTAAATGTGGAAATTTTGACCTTGTTTTGAGTCTCAAGACCTTGTACTGAGTGCTTAGTAAAATGTCCTTTCTGAAAAAGAAAGTGATAATTTATTTCATTTATCTAAACAAAATGGCCTGACCTTACCTAGTTTGGAAAGAGAGGGTTTGTTACTGTTTCTGACCATGGATCAGCAAGAGATTATAGTAGAAATTTAATATATAATTTTCCTAATTTGCATCATGAGATGAGATTTCTGTCACTTCTGGTAATTCCTAATATGTATGTATCACAAAGTTTGCATGCCGTGCTTTATTATAAAGGATCTGGGGTGAGAATTTCTGTACCGTTGTTCTGTGTGTCTGTCTTTGGTGAATGATGGAACATGGAATGACAGAGTGATGAATGTGGAGTTTGAAATGTGTTTATGCTTCTCTTTTCAGTGAGGAACTGACCCGCCTTTGGAATTTATGTCCTGATAACATGGAAGCTTGTAAATCTGAGAGTAGGTAGGTAAAAAATGGTGCGTCATTGTCTAAAGCTAACTTTCAGCACTCTAATTACACACAAAATTACAATTATAACAAAATTTGCATAAGGAAAGTATGTAAGATGATCTTACATAGTATGCCATTTCACTGTGTGTCTTGACAGAAGTTGGTTGTATGAATCTTTGTCTTCAAACCTCCTTACATTTTTCTTCACTAGTGTTTATGCTGTCAGAAATTTTCATTACTTAGTAAAGTAAAATCTAAGCTAAAAACCAGATGGAGACTCCCATTTTGTAGAGTGTGATTGTATAAATAATTTCCTTATATAATAAAGGAAGATTGCCAAGTGTGGCTCTAATGAAGTTAGCATGCTATTTGGCTATGATTTTCAAGCAGGCATGTGCTTTGAACAATACTAGATAAGAGGAAATTAGCTAGCAGGCATTGTTTCAGTGCATACCAGATCTACTAGTGGTGCAGATGTAGAAAAATACAATTATTGGTTGTCCCTTCTGCTTGCACAATTGTAGGAAGTACCAAAAATGTACTTTGCACATAACTTTCTACTTGCTAAAGATACCGTAATCCCCTTTTGTGCAGACGTTGTACCTAGTATGAAAATTTGGAAAAGGAATGGGACAGTTCCCAGAGGGAGCTTTGCTCCTGGTCATAAAGGCTGGGTACCTAGGGGAATGTGCTACCTCTGCTGATGTCCTGAGTGGAGGACTTGGTTTTCCAGAGGCTGAGAGCTCTGCAGAGGAAGTGCCCTCCCTTCTTGTGAGGCTGGGATGTGCAGGAAGGCCTCTGGCAGGATACTTGCCTTTACTAGGCCAAGGGCTAAAGGTCGAGTTGTGTTTGGAACCAAAGCTTTTGATTCCCTGTGCATGATTGTATTGTGCTGCAGTTTCTTTAAATTAAAAAAACCTAAACAAATGGAGATGAACCAAGAAAATGCATGCCATGGTAAAGAGGAAAGAGAGGATCCTGGGGGATCTGGCTTTGGTTCCAAGTCTTACTATAGACTTTGTGACTGAATGTGGTCATGTGACTGTAACTTTTCGCTTTGGTTCCTTGTGTCTTCATTCAAATGGGGTAATGCTTCCTTACCTGTTGTCTTTTTAGATAGCTGATCTTGGGTTAATATAGCAAGATTCAAATCAGATCGGTTTTCAAGATGCTGGCTTTAGTTCCAGTAGCTTGTGATAATACTACACTTAAACATGCATGCGGTGCTACTTTCCCGGGCAAAACGTGTTTTTCAAAACAAAATTAAAATGAATTTATAGACCAGTGTGCTTCCCTCCCTGCCCCAACTGATTACTAGGTTCCCTTGTAGAAGCCAATGTGTCTCTGTCAAACATTAAGAGAAACACAGATCATTATGAGCTTACTTTGTGCCACTGATAATTTTGGCTCGCAGTAACCTACACCTCTTAAGTAATCTGTATTTCTTCCTTGTCTTCAAAGCAGCAAATTGTCCTGATCATTGTGAATATTATTTCTGGTATTTTTTTTTTTTAGGTCATGGTTCCCTTATGTACTCATTTTCATTCCTCATTTCTCATTTTCTTATTGCCAGAATTCTTGTCTTGTGTGCCATAGTCCCTTTTCACCGAATGCTATTGAGAGATGTTTGTGTCGCCTTTTGGTATGGCAGAAGGTTTAAATACATATAGTAGGCCATGCTAGCGATAACTGGTACTCTTCAGTGGTTATGCAGTAAATAATTTATAGCAACATGTATCAAACAGATTCTTTGCTTATTTGCAATTGTTGCATTTGGGGGGCATTTTCTTCAGTGGCGAAGCTTGAGATGTGTGTGAAGGATCTGAAAACCAGCTATTTTAGAGTAGATTATGAGGAGTATTAAGCTCTTCATTTTATTTTTTAGGGAGTATATGCCAACATTGGAGGAATTTTTTGAAGAAGCTATTGAACAAGCAGACCCTGAAAACATGGTTGAAAATAAGTATAAGTATGTCAGTCTTTGTGTTTCACTTTGTTTTGATCTCTTTCATGTTTGGGTTGTTAAAGAAAACAGACTCTTCTCTGCATTACTAATATCTGTGCAGGACTCCAGTCACATACAAAAAATGTATAGGTTTGGACAGAACTATATTAATTAGTAAATGCTTCAGATCTTGTTCTGTGCTTTTATAGATGCCAGTCTGTTACCAGCCAAACTTGTATTTTATTACAGGGCTGTGAACAATTCCAACTATGGCTGGAGAGCATTGAGGCTTCTAGCACGCAGAAGTCCCCACTTCTTCCAGCCAACAAACCAACAGTTCAAGAGTTTACCTGAATACCTAGAAAACATGGTAATCAAATTAGCCAAGGAGCTGCCTGTAAGTAATATTATCCTATAATAATAAATGCTGAATTCCTTTGACTTCCTGCTTTTCTCTCTGCAGTCCATTTGGTATGTGGGGAGGGAGGGGGCAAAAAAACCTTAGGAAAAAAAAGCTTGTACGCTAAAGTAAAAATTACAAATAAAATTAGTCTCATCTGTGAAGGTCCCAGTAACATTAAACTGAGTAACATTGAATAACCAAGTAAGTGCTGAGCTCTGCTTTGGATTCTGTGGAAAAACAGCAGTGGCAATCCCGGTGGTAGGCAGGAATATATTTGTACCCAGCTACTTGGGTTCGATGTTGCAGCGCAAACCACTTGTATTGAAGGTGTAAGCTGGTGTTACGGCCCACGGATGTCAGCAGCGGTGACTGCTGCGACTGCAGTGAAAGGCACAGGGTGCACAGCTGACGATACTGTGCCAAGTGTTACCAGCGCTTTACAGCAAGATTTACTAGAGCTGTTCTATCAGCTCCCTGACTTTTAAAATATGTAAAGCAAAACAGGCCTTGTGGAGGTGTAAATTAACCCTTTGAATGTTCAACAGTACGAATTTGAGGCCAGGGAGGGGTCTTTCAGATCACTTCATACACAGTGATAAGAGAGACTGACAGCTGGGGAAGGGAGCATTCTCTGACCTTTTAAGTTAGCACACAACCCAGCAATTTCTTGCGGATATGAACGCATGCTTCCGTGTTTGAGACCTTCCTTGTCTGTACTGTGAAACTGCTGAGGTGTAAAGGTTGGATTGTAATAGGTAGCTTTTTTGTCTGTTCAGCCAGCAGAGTTAACTAGATGCTAATAGCAATTTTAGAAAAAATACTGGGAGGGGAAAGCTGTTTAATATATTAAAGGTATCTCTTTATGCAGTATTCCTGATGGTACTGCTGTCATGTGCCAAATGTTATGGCAAGAAACAAATACGTAGATAAGGCCTGTGACTGAGAGGTAGAAAAAGAGGAAGTCTTTTGTTCGTCTTGACTGATCAATAGCTAAATCGGAGAGTGAAAAGTGTGTTGTGTGCATATTTGTTTGCCACCTTTAAGAAGTTTAGAAAAAAAAGTTCGTCAGTGGTCTCATAGAAAGGGTGGTTCATTGTTTGTTTGTTTGTTTTAAAGTAATCAAGCTAGGTATGTAATGCTTAGTTGTAGTTACTATGAAAAGGAAAGAATCCTGTGAAGTCAGTGGATACTTTCATTAGGTTTTTTTAGTTAATACTGTGTTTTATTAGAACACTTGTTACTGGTGGTTCGGATACAGGAGACTCTGGGGGATTTTTAATTCTCATATGGGATCATGTTTGGTTTTCCATTCTAACACACATGCCGGAGACAATCAGAGAGCTGTAAAATTTCTCTTTAAACACCAAATTCATCCAGTGATGTTTAGTTCTCTCATTGTAGCCTCCTTCTGAAGAAATAAAAACAGGTGAAGATGAAGATGAGGAAGACAATGATGCTTTATTAAAGGAAAACAATGAAAGTAAGATTTGCATGTTCTCAGTCTTTTCAGTTTCTCTCTTGATGTGTATTATAGAGGCTGTGTATTAACAGAGTTTCTGCTGAGGGTCGCCAGTCCTGGTTACCCCAGTGCTTCTGACTTCAACCCCCATTCGTACCAAAAAGTGCAGCCTTGTCAGGGCACCTCAGTCTTGCCTGCAGCGCTGAAAGCATCCAGCTTGTTGAAGTTGGATTAGGAGCCTCTTCTACCTCTTCTGCTTCTGATCGTAGGTGTTTATAGCTAAAACGCCAGCATTGCTGTGTACAAACCTACCTGAGTGTTCCTCGCCCTGCTCTCCTGTTCTTTGTGCCCTTTAATTGCCACCTACCCTCTAGCCCCTGCTGGGGTGGGTAGTTACGGGACTTTCAGAAATGGATATATTCCAACTGAGATCTTTCCTTCCTCTTCATTTAAAGTATCGTAAAGGCAAAAGCTTCTCTGTGAGGAGAGCAACCTTCCTGATAAACGTCAGCTCTTGTTCATTCCTCTCCATGAACCAGCCCTTCCATTTTTTGCCTCTTGCCTGTAACCCTGGTACATCGTGCTCCCAAGTGTCCTCCCCTGCTCCTCTGCCTGTGAACCTGCCGCCTTCCATCCTCGTTCGTGCCTTCATCTCACAGCACCTTCTCCTTTGCTGTTCTCTCTCTGTGTGCTAGCGCTTGGATCCGGCGTGGGCAGATGGGAGATGCAGGGTGTGGAAGCCACACACCAGATAGCGCTGGCAGCTTTGTGGAAAGATTTTTCTGTTCATGGAAAGCCTTCTGTGGGCCTCTGGATCTCTTCTGTTGCCCTTTTCCATCCAGCCCCTGACCTTTTCCACAGTCTCCTTGCCAATAATGAAGTTTTCTCTTCAGCTTAGCACTGCCTGATGTAGCCTTCATGGTTTCACTGTGTTGAATTTACATCCATCTTTAAATCTTGTCTTAAAGCAAAGATGGCAGAGCTGTGGTCTGCTGTACGCCGTTGTGCTTCGAAATAACGGAAGTGATCCGAGTGCTTTTGTTGTTTTGTTGTTTGTGATCTTCCATCCTTTCCTGTCGATGTAGTGAGTTCAGATAAATGAGTGTGACTGATAAGCACTGGAGAGAGTTGATACTTCCACTCCATGCCAGTTGGTTCTTCAGGTGGCATGAGGGTGAGATATTCATTAAAAGTTAAGAATATGATTAATTTCTATGCCTAAGTAATTCAGTCTTTAGGGGTTTTTTTTCTTTAAAAGTGTGAAATGAACATAGGTGGTAAACCATAGATTGTAGACCATGATAAGCTATAAATGTGCAAACCCACCTGTGTAATCACTGTAGCGTTTGGCTTCTCACTGGTTTTTATCTTGACGCCAGAATGACAGAAAATTCCTTAAAGTACTGACTGCGTGTTAAAGTTACCATCCTGTTCACAGTCCTGCTGCCAATAGGAACATCAAGCTTTAGTAACTCAGTAAAAGGGAAGCAAACTATGTTTTACCCGGGTTAACTCTTGAGTAAAGTGACTAAACTAAGTCTGAAAGACAATCAAATGTTAAAGATCACTCTGTGTTTTAATATTATAGTTGACTCATGTATTGAAAATTGCAGGCTGCCTGTCAAAATCCTTGTTTTCATTTGGAGGAGACAGTTCTGATGTACTTAAGGCTTTAGCAATTCTCTGTCAATCAAACAGGAGGTAACACAAAAAACAAGATTTTCTTTGTCATGAGCAGTAAGGGACATTCCTCTTGAAACCCGGGTAATACATCTGTAAAAATCCACCTCTTCTCAGAGCTCTTGAGTAGGTTTTAACAACTACAGGGAAGGTGTAAGTCAGTCTGTTAGTAAATAAATAGGTTGTTTAAAATGG